TACAACTACAAAAGGTGAAAAAGCAGTTCTTTTGTACCACCAAATAGCAATATGTTGAGTGTGCGCTAAGGACTTGGGGGAATAAAAAGAGTTGCCTCCTACACTTACAATGAATATACAATTTGTGATCTGGGGCAGGCACACAATGGCTCTCGAGGGCTGGACAAATCCTGACGGGCCTTGGGAAAGCTACAGGGGGAGCGAAGTTTGCCACTCGGTGGCTAAGCTCCTGTGGCAGAGCAGATGGGCTCCAGGTCACACTGAGATCCCATTGAGATTCGGCATCCAACACGACTGCCATTTGGAAGGAGAGTGTGCAAAGACTGCCTTTGTCTAAGATCTGCACTTTCAGTAGTGTACAACAGGCTCATGTAAAGTAAAATAAAATATTTTTTTCCGTTTCTTGACCTACTTGTACAAATCTGATCTGAACAAGAGAAAGGTTTAATCCCTTGCCCCAGAACAGTTAATAATTTTTTTAAAATATTTGTTTAAATGCCTTTGGAGCTTTGTAATATTGGGATGACATTTGGGATATTAATCATAAATTGTGATGTGCATGATGATATTAAAGTCAAAGTCTAAAGCTCCCAGATGAGCTATTTTTTCAGTCAATATGTTACTCAACATTTCAGCAGGCTCAGGTTCCGCAGCATTTGACCTCTGACCTTCCTGAAAGATGAGCTGAAGGCTCAGTTATCTTTGCAGGACAGCCATATTGTCCTCCAGGTGCAGAAGAAGCTGGGGACATGGACAGACCACCACCGATGACCCATTTGAACTCGCTCAAATGGCTTTCCAAATCTGGGAAGTGATTTGTAGTTTCTGAAGGAAATGATCAGATGAGTGATCAGATACCTGCGTGTTAGGGTTCTGCTCTGAGTTGGTAAATAAAATGAGTTTGTACACAAAGTCTCCTGTTCGATCATTATTTGAGGCCTTCAATATGTAAAATGTAATAATCATATATTTATTGTCAATTTTATTACAAAACCCTTCATTGTATCTTCACAGGTTCATGAATCTATGGGGTACAAGTGTGAGTTGTGTCTTATATAAAGCATGTGCTTGCCAGCTTGCGCAGTACTTAATCCAGCTGAAATTGTAGTAATTTATAAAGAAATACGATCTGTAAAACAGCTAGATTTGCAGGCTACTTTAGCTATAATAGCTATTGTGCTAGCTGGCATATTTGCTATCCAGACTGTGTTAACCAACTGTTTCAGGTTGATTTTCCAAGTGTCGGATGGAGTGGTGTGAAGGATGCCGCCACTGGACTCTGAAGCAGAGGAAACATATTCTGTGGAGTGACAAATCAAGCTTCTCTGTCTGGTAGACTGATGGACGAGTCTGGGTTTGGTGAATGCCAGGAGAACATTACCTGCCTGACTTCATTGTGGCAGCTGTAAATGAGGAGGGACAATGTTATGGGGTTGTTTTTCAGAGGTTGGGCTAGAACCCTTAGTTCCAGTGAAGTGAAATCTTAATGCTTCAGCATACCAAGACATTTTGGACAACTGTTTGCTTCCAACTTTGTGGAAACAGTTTGGGAAAGACCCTTTCCTGTTCTAGCATGACTGAGCCCCAGTGCACAAAGCAAGGTCCATAAAGGCATGGTTGGGTGACTTTGGCATAGAGCCCTGACCTCAACCCCATTAAACACCTTTAGGATGAACAAGAACGGAGATTGCGAGCCAGGTCCTCTCATCCAACATCAGTGTCTGACTTCACAAATGCTCTTCTGGATGAATGGGCAAAAAATTCCCAGAGGCACATTCCACAGTCTTGTAGAAAGCCTCCCGGAAGAGTGGAAGCTGTTATACCAGTGAAGGGGGGACTTTTTAAGATTTAGGATGGGATGTCATTTAAGCTCCTGTAGGTGTAATGTGTAGGTGTCCCAATACTTTTGTCCATGTAGTGTGAACATGAATGGGGTAGAGTCTGTAACTGTATACTCATATAGTGGACTTCATAAAGTGACCAATGAATGGAAATACATGTGGATAGTGAGTGTAGAATGTTCATAATAGTGATCAGTGACACACTTGGTTGCAAATATCCCATCCAAAATTCAAACTGGACAAATAGGGTTCATTTCTCATCCAATTTGCATACCATGACTTGTGGACGAAGGTACACATAGCTGTTGCGTGAAACCTGACAACAGCCAGCAGTAGTCAAGCAAGAAGAACACATGAAGCCACCTGAAACTTCCCGTGTTCACCTCGCCACCTGTCTCCGTGTTGAGCAGGAGACCTGCCTGAGAATGCCACGTTCTCTGTAGAGACACCACCGTCAGCATCAAATGTCACAAGTGTCTCTGGGTTCAGCGTGGGCCAGGCAAGAGCGAGAATAGGAGCTAGAGCAAGACATAGAGCTTTACATCGTCTTAGCTGACTCTTCACATGCAGACAAGACAATTAGGAATAAAACAAAGGCTGTCATAGGATTTAAAGAAGAAAAGACATTAAACAGCGTAAAACAGGTTTAAATTTTCCCATTATAAAGCCACCAGTGATCCTTGAGCCCTTGGGATAGAGCACTTTGTTTGCATGTCGCAGTGGGATAGCTAATTTTGTCAGTTTTTCCTTTCTTTCTGTTCTTATTTTCCCCTTTGTGTTTCATTTCTTTTTTGCCCCCTTAAAAAGTAGTTAAACAGCCAACAAGTGCTCAATATTGGGTACTTCTTCAAGACTGTTAGACAAACATCCCAAGTGTCTCCTCATGAAGATGCTTGAGAGAATGCCAAGATTGTGCATAATTGGATCAAGGCAAAGAGGAGCTGCTGTTACTATCTAAAATCTTAGCCAGTTCTGATTTGATTATTTTTTCTATCACTACATAACGTGTTTTGATGTCTTTGGTACTTTTCAAAAATGCAGGACATAAACATTTATGAACATACCACCATTGGAGTTAACAATTACTTATTTGGCTTTATGTTCACTGTAGGCTTTTTGCATTTTTAATATAGATTAAGCAAAAGAGTTGTTCATGACAGGTGGCATGGTGTTAAATATCTTTATTAAAACAGTTATTAAGTGTGTAATACAACTGTGCAACACCTTCATTAAGGGCATAAGGAGTCGTCATCAGTGACTGTAACCTTCAGCACAGTGTCGGTCCAAATACTTCTGCAATGGGCTTTACTTGCTCCAGTCAGCGTTGGTGTATTTTACTCTGTTTATAACCATGTGCAAATCATTGCATGATCTCAGCAATGCAGTCTGCCTTAAGTCGGTGCTGTTAATGAATGCAAATACCCATCTGAGCGTAACCGTGTCTCTTTCGCCGCTGCGGTAGGGTAAAAAAGAGAAACAAAGGGACTAAAAGGACTAAAGGGACTAAAATAAACACACGAGAAAAGATCCACCCATGTGAAAGAATGGCCTGCAGCTGTGTGTTTAACCTATCTAGCAGCTCCAATCAATGTCGATCCTCCACCTCCTCTCTCCTTTGCGTCTGCAGCCTCCGCTAAAAAGGGAGCCACTGCTTTGTCGCCCTATGAAACATGCACAAACTAATAGGATGAGATACAAAAAAGAAAAAAAAAAATTATGCTGACAGTAAATCATATTACATTCCTAATAAGCATTAACTGGATAACTGGGTCAAAGCGGTATTATCTTAATTGATTTTTTTCTAAAGAAACCTGACAGGAAAATGTCAATGCTTGAATATTTCTTCATGCATCATTAAAACAAGATTGGCTTTTAACAAAAGGAGATTCCTGTGCCGAATTGATTCTTGCTCCAGGCTGCCTGCAAGTAAGTGTATTACATAAAAATCTATACAGGATATTAAAACGACGCTATTCGGTAAGACAGTTACAATTAAAAGCTGACACCCGCCCCCATCCCCCCCTTTTGTGTGGGCTTCGGCAGCCTGCCCGCAAATGCATTGGTGCTCTGCTGAGAGCCAGACCAATCAATGGAGGCGCACAGAGGCGATGGGTTATGAGACTGGCAGTAGGGGGTAATTGAGCTGTTCCGGCTTCTGCAGTGACATGCAAGACTTTCCCTCTCACAGATCCGCTAACCAGAAGGATGCCGGGCCTGTCTGGTGCAAATGGATTGACCTAGTGGTCTAAATTGCTGGGTCATTGGTTGTAGATGCAAATTTTGGCTAATTCTTATTAACTGACTGTCGTTAGTTGGTGATTAAGTATTAACCAGCAGGCCTAAATCATGGACACGACCCATCAAAATATCAATTAAAAAATTCGACATTTCCAGTTATGAAACCTGATTGGCTCAGCCATGTTTGAAGCCATGGTAAAATACTTATTATGCATATCTTAGGTGCTGAATTCAACTGAATTCTGTATTAATGCACTGAGATATTAAAAAGTGCTCCTTATAGTCCTGATAGGTGTGGCCAGGCACAAACATGTACGTGAAGGAAATGGCTATAGAACTATACTGAATGACCATGTGATGACTTTGTCATCTTGCCCTGTGTATCAGTAGCTCGCCTTCTCTATCATTTTGTACAACATGTGATTTCCTCAAACCACCATACATCATACTTTCTCTCCGTGAACATGAACAAAATAGTTTTCTGTCTTATTGTTTACTTTTGATATGATGTGTTGTATTTGTCTATTGTCCTTTAAAAATTGGTTCTGAACACAACTGTTTTAGCAGTGTGCTTTGTTGTAGGCCTATCTACTGGAACCAATTGCCTGTTGTACCCTCATGCATACAATTCAGAAATGTTCCTCAACTTGATGAAGCCATCTGTTCAAATAGGAACCGTTGTTTGCTGGAAATGAAATGAATGTTGTTTTAACTGATAGCATTCGTCAAACAATGGTTTATTTGTCAGGTAATGGTTAATTGGTTAGTCATTTACATCTTTAGTTAGTACCAATCTGTTCTTCTAAGTATTGAGGTAAAAGTCAGTTTATGGCAAACACATTCTAGAGGAAAGCATTAAGGTGTAATCAGAATTATATGAAGCCACAGAAAGGAGCAACTACACTTTAAGACCAACTACACTTTATTAGAGACCAATACCTTATAGGACTTGTAGAAAGTTCATGTTGCTGGTGTACAAGTAGCAACTGTATCCCCTCTGCTGTCACATACATGCCGTCCTCTAGCTTTCTATCAGTTATCAGTTTCTGACCGCTGAGCCACTCTTTGCTGGATATTTGTGGGTGGTGAAGAACTCTCAACCTAGCAGTGATATTGACATCTGTAAAAACTCCAGCAACACCACAGTGTCACTACCATGTCAAAGACCAAAACAGCAGTTTTTCAAAAACAGCCCACCATATAAATAATGATGAAAGGGGTGGAGGGTGAATGATAAACTGTGCGTGGCAACAGATGGGCTGCAGTCTGCAATTGTATACTCATATAGTGGACCTATAAGGTAGACAGAGCTCAAAAAGTAACCCTTGTGGGGAATGTACATGGTAGGAGTTCCTAATAAAGCTGAGTGAGAGTGTTAATCCTAACAACGATTGTCATGGCATTACTGAGAACTGACTGGGCAGTTGTGCTGATTGCTCACTGGGTCTTCAAATCTTTTCGTCTAAGGTTCCATCTCTGTGATATTTGAGGAGGAGCTGAGACAGCAGGGTGAGGCAGTGGTATCAGCTGTGTGAAGCACAGGACAGAGTTCTGGCAGGGGAGTGAAATCAACAACAACAACTGTATATATGAATACAGCCATTAGATGCTGGTTGATCATGAAAGATTCTGCACAGGTCTTAGGCTAGAATGTTTCATTTATCATCTGCAGTGATTTGTATTCTACAGTAACTCCAGCGTAGGCTGGGATGAACTCTCACATTATGTAATTCACCATTGAGGTCATGTTGCATTCTAGCAACAGCTGACTCTGCTGTGATTGGATGTCTACATGTCTGAAACTGCTGTTTTGATCTTTGTAAGTTGTTCCTTAGGATTAATGTATATGGAAATAATCATTCAACAAACACTATTTACAACAGAGAGGCCTTCCAACTGCAATTACAGACACTAAAGTGGTGTCACTGCAGTCTAGATAATGTAAGAAATCTTGCTGTGTAGATGCTGGTGTTATAATCACAATGCCCAAAAGTTTAGGCACACATTTTTGACACTACTTTTTGATTAACTTGCTTTTACTTTCCAAATCAGTCAGATTAAAATTCCTGTAAATATTTGGTGGACATAAAATGGCCATTTTTACAAAAATGGTTTAAACATCTGAAATGTTTGTGCTTTCAGATGAAAATATACCCTAGTGATGAGTGCTGATATTACAACAGGGGATGAATTGAGGTAGAACTTTGTCAGTTTGTCAGTTTTTTTCCCTGTTTTGCTGTTTTTGCAGGTAAAATGGTAATATCTAAATAACATATTTCATACGGTAAGTTACTGCAGACTAACAAAGAAAACATGCTTGTTTACATTAAGACATTTTCAAAAGCTGTAGTCATATGAAAAGTAAATACACCCCATTAAATTTTTCTCTTTTTTAACATGCATGGTCATATCAGTATTTGATCCTCATTTAAACAATATGTATAGCTAAATGTTATTTAATAGAACAAAAAAACAATGGCAATTTGACTTTGTAATCATTTATTTGAGAAAAATATTAACTGAGATGTCATTTTGTATGTTGAAAAAGTAAGCACACCCCTGGCTTTAGTAACTGGTACTGTCCCTTTTGAAAGAAACAACTTTATGTAGCCATTTCCTATAACTGTCTACCAGTTTCTGGCATCTACTGGAAGAAATCTTTGCCCACTCCTCCATGAAGAATTCTTTTAACAGAGCATTTCAATGGGATTCAGATCTGGGCTTTGACTAGGCCATTCCATAACCCACTTTCTCCTTTTGAGCCATTCCTTGGTGGATTTACTTATATGTTTGTGATCATTATCCTGTTGGAGGATCCGATTATTCAGCTTCGCCTTTTTTACAGATGGTCTCACATTCTCCTCAAGCACTCTCTGGTATGAAAGAGAATTCTCTAATTGCAAGTTGGCCAGGCCCTGAGGCAGCAAACCAGCCCCAAGCCATAACATTTCCAACACCATGCTTTATAGCTGGTATGATGTTCATCTGATTAAATGCTGTCTTTGGCTTTAGCCAAACATGTTTCTGGTACTGTGGCCAAACAACTCTATCTTTGACTTGTCTGTCCAGAGCACATTGTTCCAGAATAAGCAGGATGGTCCTCATACAGATATTCATTACCAAACTTTAGTCTTGCCCTGATGTTCTTTTTCAACAGCAAGATTTCATCCTGGTGCACCCCCATGTAAGTCAAATTAGTGCAGTCAATTTTCTAATGCTATATGCATGCACTTTTACATCAACAGTGGCCGGAGCTACCTGCAAATCCTTTGATGAAATTTTGGGGTTCTTAGAGACATCTTTAAGCATCTTGCAATCTGCTCTTTGTTAAATTTGCTGGGCCAGCCAGGCACAGACAAGTTGTTGATGATCTCTCAGACAGTAGAAGGACTGATTTCCAATATTTGGATATCTTCTGAAACCCTTTCTCAGACTTACAGGCATCTAAAACCCCTTTCCAAAGGCCCCAGAGAGCTCTTTTTATCTAGGCATAATGATACTACACGGTCCAGTATCACAAAGCAAACCAGACAAGATATCTGAGGTTGAAATTAGAAAACTTCCTCCAAAATATTCCCTAATAGTGTTTTAATTATTAGCATGTAATTGGCTACACCTGATTCCAATTTGACATGTTTGAAGTAGTGAAATGTGTAGGGGTGTACTTCCTTTTTTTCACATGAGAAAACTACATTACTGTTTATTTCAATTATACAAAGTCATAAACTACATAATTTTGTTCATTTTAAGTGTAACTTGTTCAATTATATCATCTTTACCTATAAACACTTTATTTGAAAGGCTTCATATCTGTATCTAAATATGTTGAAAAAGTTTTCATGGAGTGTACTTACTTCACATGATTGTAGGTGTCCCCAAGCTTTTGACACAATACAGGATCTGTGAAACAGGAGCTCCTGCAGCATACAGTCCCATCCATGGTGCTAGAGAGAGATGGAGAGAGACAGAGAGACTGTGACAGAGATGTGGAGAGAAAGAGAGTGTGAAAGAGAGACAAACAAAGACAGAGAAGGAGAGAGAGAGACAGAGGGAGAGGGTTATTGGCACAGACGCCCGACAAGTGTGGTGGAATAAATGAGTCTCACTGACACTCTGATACTCATCAAGCGACTTCCCACCGAGCAGCATCAGTTAAGACCCAATAAAGACGTTGGGGCTGAAGGAGACACACATACACATGGCCTGTCGACAGCTAAAGCACTGAAACACACTGTTTGTTTGCAGACACATGGGGCCAGTGTTTTTTTTCTTTATTTTTTATTTGTCAGGTTACATTTCAGACAGGAATCTACACGTTTGATACAGTTAAACTGTAGAAATGTGAGAAGTGTAGGTCCTCAGATGCAACTTGTGTTTTTTTGTGCTCTTGGAAGAAAGAGGGTTCGGTCGCATAAGTTACTGGGTGTTTTATTTTTTTGTTTATTTTTTGTTTGTTTGTATTTTCAAGACGAGTGACTGTTTCATTTGCTGTTAAAGGGATGAAGTGCATATCCCACACATACTCCCTAATTTGAGTGGATCTGTGCAAGCCACATTCTTTTCAGGCTTCCTCCTGGAACCATGTAGGGAGGCATGTAATGTTTGTGCAAAAAATACCTTACAGAAGTGCAGAGTTTGCTTTGTTGTTACAAATTCAGCCTGTGTCTGGAGTGGGAGGAGTGGCGTGTGTGCGCGCGTGTGTGTGTGCAGGCGTCCACAATGCAATATTCATGACAAATTCTGCAGCAACTTGTCTGTTTTCTGGGCGGCTGGAAAACAGAGAGCGAGAGAGAGGCTCACCTGACATCTGCATATGCCATTCAGCATTTGCAAAGGGGACGTGCTTGTGCCTGTGCAAGACTTCCTAAACACTTTGAGGTCAACAAATTATTAATATTTAGCATCGGTACTGATGACAGCGTGGCGTCCTCCAGAGAGATGGGAAAAAAGAGAGGAGAGGAGAGGAGAGAGGAGGAGAAAGGAGGTGAACAGAGGGGAGGGACAGAGAGAGGAGCGGAGGGAGACAGAGGAGAGGAGAGCTCCAGGGGTCTCGTCTCTCCTCGACGCAGAGCTTGTTTGGCAGATGGAGCTGTCAGTTTGGCTCTCCGCTTAATGCCTTCATGCATATGGCAGGCTCCTTTAAAACCTCATGCTCATGTATTATCTATGGGTCTAAAAACAGGCAAGGTGGGGTGAGGGGGAGGGGTGCACCGGGCATATCACAGGAGTTTAAACTTCTGTAAACAACTCGAGCCGCCGGCGTAAGACGTGATTTCGCTGTCAGAAGCGGCAGGAACATATGGGCTGGGACAGGAAGTGGCGGCATACCTGCACGAGGCGCCCTCCTTCGCCTCCTCCTCCTCCAGCAGGCGGACGAGGCTGAGACATGATGTCAGGCGACAGTGAGAGACAGATGAGGGAGGGGAGGACTGGGAAGGAGGGGAAAGGGGTGGTGATTACTTTTTCATGAGCTACCTGACAACTCATGTCCTGACCACTAAAAGAGCAACCTCGGCATGAGGAAACAACTCCATTGCTGCTGCTTTGTAAGGAAGGTCTGTAGAACCACAGATGATGGGATACGGGTGGGATTTAGATGGGATGAGAATGGGACAGGATAGGATGAGGACAGGACAGGATAAGGATACAGTGAGGATGAAACTGGATGACGATAGGATGGGACAGATGGAACAAGGACATGATGAGGATAAGACTGGATGGAAGAAAGATGGTATGCAATGAGATAAGAATGATGTGGGACTGTACAAGGATAGGCTAGAGACGGGATGGCATAGGATGGGGTAAGGATGGGACAGGACAGGGTGAGAAATGTATGAAAATTGGATAGGACAATATGAGGATTAGCAGGGATGAGGACAGGTTGGGACAGAATGACGAAGGGATGGAACAGAATGAGGATGGAACAGGATGAGGAAGAGATGGGATGGCATGGCACAGGATGGGATGAGGATGAAACTGGAACAAGATGTTGATGTGTGAGATGAGGACTGGTTGGAACAGGACGAGGATGGTATGGGACAGAATGAGGATGGGGTGGAATAAAGAAGGCATGGGATGGGATGGCACAGGATAGGATGAGGATAGGACAGGATGTAAACAGGATGAGTATAGGATGGAATAAGGAAGGCATTGGATGGGATGGCACAGGATAGGATGAGGATAGGACAAACCGAGGACAAGATGAGATGAGTACAGGATGGGACAGGATGAACATGGCTTAGGACAGAATGAGGATGGGATGGGATGAGGAAGTGATGGGACAGGATGAGGCTATGATGGGACAATGATGAAAAGGGACAGAATGAGGACAGCATAGAACAGGATGAGGATGGGCAGGACAAGGAAAGGATGGGACAAAATGAGGACAGGATTAAGACAGGAGGATGACAGTGCAGGATGAGGTTGTGCTGAGACATCTTCAGGGCCAGAAAAAGATGAGGATGGGATGGGACACCTTTAGGGCACGTGAGAGAAGGCAAATGTATGAACACATCATCACTGTTTAAACAAATAATGTAATCTAATTTACACAATTTGAAAACACAAGCTGCCCTTTACATTCTGTGAACATCTCATGACAAATGGACTGACAGAATTTACATGAACTGATGTGAAGTTAAGAAAAGAACTTTTTTTTTTTTCACTGCCATATTACAATTGTAGAGATAGATTTTTTTTTCTACAACAGTAATATCATCTGTTTCCTATGTCTTGGCTGCACTCTCTCTAACACCTTTTCTCATGCCTTCATGGGAGGACATGGGAGGACATGGGTGGTTGACAGCGATCACAGTTGAAAAAAAAGTTCCAGGCAGCATCCGCGAATGCTGTCACTGAGCTCTCCCTCCGTAGTGCCTCACAGAACATGGTGGACGGCTTGATGTGTTTGCCGAGTTTTATTTATTTATTTTTTTTGTACTAGCTGTATGTCAATAGCAAACACATTTATCTGAAGGTTATTTTTGACAAGAGAAGGAATGAAGCTATGGACTAAAGTAGTAGTATATAAAGTAGTGTATGTTTTAGCAGAAGCAGTAGATCTGCTCGGTAAATAGAAAAAGTTTGTGTGAACATAAAGAGTCACATTTTAAAGAGTTCAGGTTTGAATGAACTCAATGGGTGTCTGGAGTCTAATTTATGATTTGAGATTCTGTTGACATAAAGAGGTAAAATATGTTTCCAAATTTGGTTGATGCTAACATTGGAGATTGTATAAGCTGATGTTAATAAAATACAATTGTTCGGATGTTCTGCTCTCTCTCCCTCTCTCTCTCTCTCTCTCTCTCTCTCTGTATTTTTCTAACACTCACACTGAGGTATTCCCAGACTGAGATTGAGACTGATAACAGTGATGTTCACTACTTAACCCTCCTTCATGTAAGACAGATCCATCAAAAGAGAGGAAAGAAGAAGAGCAGCAAGAGAATTGAATCAAAGTTGATGCTATACTACAGTCAGATGATGCAGAGAAAAAAAGAGAAAATTCATAAAATGAATTCATAAAATGATGTTGTTCACCCTCACAATCACTGCCTCAAACACCTCACCACTGTAATCCTTTTGAAACCAGAGCATGGGGTGTAGCTTTAAAAGGGTGAAGAAAAAAGAAAAATCTGCAGTCTGATCAATAATTAAGCCTTTCCCTTTCGTCTGTCATCGTGTGGCCCTGTAACAACAGCCAGCATGACTGACAGATCTGGAGCGTTTGATGCAGGACCACGTTCATTCTGGAGGTCAGCGCTGCATGTGTCTGTGTTCAGTAGACTGAGTGAAGTACTAGTATTAATCAACCGTTTAGACATACCTACTCATAGAAGGGTGTTTCTTTATTTTTTACTATTTTCTACATTAGAATTATAGTAAAGACTATAAACTAAAATATGAAATGAAGAATATGAATCAAAACTATGAAATAACACTTATGGAATTATTACAGTCAGAGGGTTTGGCCTTCGACCAAATAGAGCTATTACTTTTACTAGTGGTGAAAATAGAGAAATTTTATTGTGTGAACACTGATCTGAATTATTTACTTATTTATTTATTGCCAGTGCATTTTCATATTAAAATAGACCTTAAATTATTCACTAGAGATTTTACATTTATTGATTTTAAAATCAATTAAATGCTTGACTCTAATGCATTTCATACATTTGAAAATGTAGATGTTTCTGTTAAAATTAAGAGCTGAATGCTTGACCGTTGAAAACTTGACTTTTATCTTACATCACAGGTCTCAGAAGTCTCTCTTTTTACAAAGCTACTTAAAAACTGAATGATGCTAATAAATAAATTGTATATATATATATATATATATATATATATATATATATATATATATATATATATATATAGGTGTCTGTCCAGTCTTGACAGTCTTGATTTTTACAATTAGCAATGCTTTGATTTAATAAAGACAGGTAATTTGCAAACACAACATTGTAACTGCAACTTAATTCTTATTTAGTTTTCATGAACAGAGATGATAATATTTCTTTAAAGATATGGGTCACTTCATTTAAAAAAGTGTAGGAAAGGAAATAAAAAAAAGACATGACTGAATGTATTCATGAACAAAGGAATTGTTTTTTTAAATGAACAGGAGCTTATAAGAACATTTCCTATAACTGAAAAGGAAGACAAAGTAGCATTTTAAATGAACATTAGCACCGTAACACTTAGCAGACAAGCTTTATTTATAACAAGGCTATAACAGTTATAACAAGGCTACCTATATAGGTGATTATCTTCTATTTGTTACGTATTAGCTAACGTTATTTGCTAATGCATTAGATAAGTTGCGGACATTTCAAAATACACCTGTAAAATAACATTCACTAATATTACATTGACTAGACATGCCAGTGACGTCACCTAGGTTTGAGGAAATCAGAAAATAAACAACTACTATTATTGTTTATTGTGGGTTTTTTTCTTTTTTTTACTGCTTTCACCAAACTGTACTTCAGCAAAATAGGCCAATTAGAGGACTATTTAGGTAGACCCTGCAGTACAATGCTCTCTCATAGGCTGTACGGACTGTGGGCTGCATTTGGAGCGCATTCATAGCAAGAAATTATACTTCACATCATTCACACACTTTAGAAAGAAGCATGAAACAACTATAAAGTTTCACATATAAAACAGTTCCCCAGATTTTCAAAATCTGAGTTGGAAATACTATTCCAACCCAACTTTTACTCACAGAATGGCGTTCCAGTACACCCCATTTTGATCACTTTAGAATTTAGAATGACCTCACAACATAACTGATTGACTAAAGCACTTTAACGAGGATAAACACTCCCCTAAAGGACTTTTAATGTGGCACACATCTATATTTAATCTACAAGGTGAAATCAGTGTTAATAAGATGGAGAAGTAAGCAGGAAATTTTTACATTGGTTGACATTTGGTTGGTTGATAGTGTTAGACCATTTCTCACCTGCATCTATTCAGAACACAGAAAAATAGCCTCGAACTAAACTTGCTTGTATAGTAGTGACAAACCCACCAAGTAGCTAGCAGGCTTGTAACAGTTGTTGTAATGTAAAGGCAGCGTGTGGTTCAGTTAGATGTGTCAAAACATTTAACTAGATCACGATGAGACCCTCTGAAGTCTAACACAGGCCTTCCTGAGAGGTGCTGCTCCTAAAGGCCAGATTTACCGTGCTGTGCTGGCTGGTGGTAGCTTGTTATGGCCGTTATGAAGAGAGACAGGCCGGTAAATAAAGCTGACGGTAATGGAGGAATCAATGAGCGTATTAAGGGCTGGGGAAATATTGATCAGATCTATCAATAATTCAGAAACACTCACAAAAAGAGAATGCTCATGCTTGGCTTGGCATACCATGCTCTATCTTTCTGTGTGTGTGTGTGTGTGTGTGTGTGTGTGAGTGTGTGTGTGTGTTTCATATTTACGTTGTCATCATAAAACCAGCAGCCCCCTGCTGTCCTTCTCATCATGTCCATTTTTCAGGCCCCTCTCCGTTATTCCTCACGTCTCCCACTCGTTTGTGAGCTCGCGGCCGTGTTATTCCGACGCATGGCAGATAAACGACCCCTTTTATTTATAGCTCGGACGAGGAATGACAGCTGCTGTTTATTCGGCGTGTCGGAAAAGTTATTTTCAGCACGTCAGACGCACGGCGAATGTGGAGAGGCAGTTTGCCTTCGCTGAAGACGGCAGGGCCGTGGAGTGAGAGAGAGAGAGATGGAGGGAGAGAGAGGGAGGAAAGAGGAAAAAAGAAGGGCTTGGCCTAATAAACTGGCATCTCCCCTCGGTGTGCGGTGTGTAGCGAGTGTTATTCATTATTCATGCTCATTAAACTGGAGGCCTCCTAAGAGCTCTGGCTGCCAGCTCCCTGCCAAAGTCTGCTGGGTTTGTGATGTGCCCACTTGAGACCGACAGGATTTAAATCCAGGACACTACTACTGAATAACGAGCTGAAAAACCACCCCCCACACACCACCCCATCACACACAGGCACACACACACACTTAAAGTACATACACACACATAGCTTCCAATTTCACCTAAACACATTTGACAAAATGGAAAATTATTCCCCCACTTCTTCCCCTCTATAATGCACTCACACATGCACATATACACTCACTCTATATTCATACACATACAGCACTGTAATCTAGGAGACCACCTTTCATTTATTTAATTTCTAGTCAAACCTGCCAAGTTATTTTAGCCGATATTTCTTGGGAGATTAGATATAAAATAATCCACTTGCAAAAGGAAGGGGAAAGTCGAAGAAAACCAAGTGGAAAAAACAAGTTTCCAAAAATGGAAATTTTTAATTAACAGATAAAGACAAAATAACCCAGTAGACCACCAAAACCATCACCATCAGATAAACATTACATAAAGCTTTCATCTTTGAGAGAGAGGAGAAATCAAGCTCCACTCTTGCATCAGATCTGAAAAAATCCACAGGTGTTTCTGTCAATCCTTCCACTGTGAGAAGACGACTCAACGCTATGAGTCTGAAAGGATGTGTAGCTGTCAAATTAAACAAAGAAGCTGCTGGTGCTGTCAGAGCAATGGAGAAAAAACCCAGACCTCAACATCATTGAATGTTTTTGGATTACTCTGATTGTGAGAAGCAGAAAATGTAACCAATTTCAAAGATGAACTTTGGAGGTGTGGAAAAATATTCCTGCAGATTTCTTTGAAAGCTTGACAGCATGGAAGCTATAAAAAGAATGGAAACTGTAATAAAGGCAAAGGGTAAATGCTTTAAATAATTTAAAATTTTGATGTTTTATCTAATTAGTGAAGCATTTGTGTAATTTTCTGTTGAATATATTGGTGATGCTTTATTTTGTGTGGTCCTTTTAGATGAAACAAACACTTAACAGACTCTCGGTAACATATCAAAAACATATGAGGGTTAGGATTAGGTTTAGGGTTGTGGTTAAGATTAGGGTTAGGATTAGGGCCAGGGTTAGGGTCAAGTTTTGGGTAAGGTTAGGTTTTGTGTAATAGAAGTAACATATTAACAATACATCTCCTTAATGTAAGTAATGTATCAACACTACATCTTCAAGATATTTACTTTTTATGTATTCAGATGCTTCACTACTACTACCTCACTGATATGTTGTTGATGTATTACTGATAATCTGTTTAGAGTCTACAGAAGACCACTAAAAGAAAGTGTTACCAATATATTTTACTGCTTTCTGTACTCATACTGAAAAACATCTTCTAAATGGTCATTTTGATTAGAAATGAACTGCACATGCACAAATAAGCGATAAATACAGATTTCAATTTCAAAACGGTGTATGTTTTGTCTAAGCTCAGTTGCTCTTTGCTTAGTTTTTGTGTTACAGGCTTCAGTACCAATACACACACACACACTCAAGCAGGGCACATGCATTGTGTTCTCTCTCACTTTCCCCCTCTTCACACACGGCATTAGGCTTTGATGGCCTGTGCCGTCGCTTGTCTGCTCTGAACATTTGTAAAAACATAAACTGGAGTGAGAAGTGTCTCGCATTTCCCAGACCCCCTGCCGCCTCAAGATTTTCTCACCGTTCCGGCTCTGAATAAAAGCACCGCGGCCTGCGGCTCTCGTTCGGTGTAGGCGGGAGGCCAGCAAGTGGTCCAAGGCATAACAACCGCACCAGAAGTGGGCAGATTCAGAACAACTGGCCAGACCGTCCCCCTCCACCACCCTGATGGATTGCTGAGATGCTTTACAAGCTCAAACTTCTCAATTTTCCTTCTCCAACAGATGAGTGAAGAGCGGAAGTGGCGTCCAGGAAACTGTTATTTATTGGGATGTGCATACCCCCAAGCCTGGGCCACAGTGAGGGTCTCTTTTAGGGGTCTGAGCAGCTTGGATAAATAAAGCTTCATGAAGGTAGGGAGCTAGCGCTTTCCCATATGTGCATGTGTGGAGAAGCAGGACGGACTCTGGCCAGCTCTTTCATATACTCCTAATGTACTGGAAAGCCGGCCACAGTCAAGCGCAGCAGGCTCTGGTCCAGAACAGCACCAGTTGGAGAGAGAGAGAGAGAGAGAGAGAGAGAGACAGAAAAGCCATGTGGTGGAATACCCAGAGGACTGGTCGTTGTCAGTTTGGGTTATGTTTTAATAGTGGACACTCCGAGGCTGGACGGGAGCGAGACGATGTCAGAAACAAGAGGTCTAAGCAAACACAGTGGCCACAAGAGCCCTCTCATTTATCATAGGCCCGTCACACACATATACTCCAAAAGATGGCAGGGCCGTCCGCTCTCATCCTCGGCAGGCCTCAGTCAGGAGATATCTGAACCCTCTCTTTCCTTTTACCACTCATTCTGGATAGAACTTGGCCTGCATTTTGGTGAGTTTACTTTCGGTTTTTGAAGGGACATATCTGTCCCTCTAGATGAGTTGGGTTGGGTACAGGGATAGATTACTAGCCAGGGGTTTCTGACTGCCAAGGGCCTCTGACTGCTAAGGGCCCTAAAGACCACGAGGCACGAGGTGACCCAAATATGTACGACAATCTACTGCAGATGTAAACATTAGATGATTGAATAGCCCTTGAATATGTACAAATCACTTAATAAATGTAATATATGAAGAAATGTTATTGGTTCTCAGGCCTCTCAAGTCACATGTGCCCAGGGGCCTTGCTAGACCATGATCTGTCCTTGCTGTGGCGTTTGGTTCACAAACAGTCCTGTTTTCAAAATCTCAAACATAAATCCAAAACCACAACCAAAATTTGCCAAAATTTGCCGCACACAGATCCATCGAGTGCAAAGAATATTAAATTTCAATTTTATATACATAAATATATATATATATATATATATATATATATAACCGAACTTTGTATCTCCATTTTTTTGGACGTTTTTTGAAAAAGCTTGTTGTCCTTTACATTATATGTAAATTTCATGAAGCATGGACCAAAAGAAATGACCCAGAATGACATGGAAAAAACTCTGGTTCCATTGACTTACATTAAAAGTGAAGTAGTTTTTTTTTTTCCTTTTCCTGTAAAGTTATCATTTGGAGATACAAGGTTTTCTATATATTAATGTTTTTTATATATATTAATGTTCACAGTGTCATTTTTTATAGACATAGTGATATGGAAAAACATATAGTAACATAGTAGGAAGTTCCTTTAATTTCTTTTTAGAAATAAAAATAACAGCAAATAACTAGTTAACAAGTTAACTATAGTTTTCAATTGAAACCTCCTTTTATTATCATTATTATTATTGTTATTATCTGAATCCAGGCTATCAAATGAAAGCTAATTGTATTTTAAACCCTGCACCATCACCTTAACCTCTCTCCCCATCCTACGTAAGTAGATTTGAGTTGCAGTGGGCTGATTGTGTACTTCACTGTTTCTTGAGCTTTGCTCCGGGAGAACAAACAGGACTTCAAAGGCAGAGTGTTTGACTAAAATAAGGTGAGGGTGAACGCAAACACGCATTCAATATTCCTGCTTTTTTCCGTCTCTCTTTAAAAGGATCCGTTTGCTCAGATCAAAAGCCTAACCTTTCGACCGTGGAGAACTCCCTCACTGGGGTTTGATTTTCTAAATAAAACTTTCCGCAGTGGCTCAGAGGCTCCGTAGGGCACGTCTCGTCTCTCCTCGGGAACTTTACAAATGCCACATGTTGGCAGGTTGGAGAAGAACAAGTGAGTGCAGCTAAAACAACAAGTGTCAATTAGCGATTTTCACAGCGTGTTTTCGATTCCGCTGTGGTAAATCCATCGCCCTGTGGTCGAAAAGGCAGAGGAAGCTTCTTCAGGCTTTTGAGAATAACTCAAGACCCAAATCAGAACCAAACCATGCCTGCATATGTGGAAGGAGTCAATGACTGCCACATTAAATATCCTAATAACCCTTCAAATGTTCAAACCCTTCATGTTTGTACAGGCATAAGTACATTCACTGTCCACTTTATTAGAAAGTCTTCCGTAATACATCCACTCACTGGCTACTTTGTAAGACCCAACTACTTTATAGGTCCACTCAATTGGTGCGCAGTAGATTGTAGCCTATATGTTGATGCACAATTTGTCAGCCGCTCTAATCCATCCTTCACTGACCTGTGATGCAGAGTTAGAGGACCTTTAACAGAAATTGATCATAAACAGATGAGATACAATCTCTAACCACATACCAACAACACAGAGCTACAAAGTAGTGATTCCTAATAGACAAAGAGTTTGCATTCTGAATTGGATTCTGAAGATTAGTCAAATTCTCAGAGTGTAGGGACATGTCAGTGGGGTGGCATCCTCCTCACTAGTACACTTTTCTGTCTTTGTAATTATTTTGTGTTCTTCTGTATGAGTGTATGTAATTACTGCTGTTCAAAACCTAACCCAACTCTAACCATAGCCTATTTTACTGTTGCTAATGAAAGCAGTAGGGGAAAAAGCATTTTCCTTCATGGAGAGCAGCTAAATGTACCCACCATGTCAAATTGTTGACATTTTCCGTCATACTGGGAACATTTGGTCCCAACAAAGAACTAAACACACATACAGCTAGACACAGAGGCCTGTCATCAGGAGAGAGGGCAGCTATGAGGAACATAACAAAATGAATTAGAAGCAGCTTCTAAGCAACTCTAAGCAGCTCTGTTGAAATGACAGTGAATCAAATGAAGGGCTATAACCAGACACTAATATCAAACCAGTTAACCTTT